TCACTGCGGATAGCAGTGCCTTAGCGACTAGATTAAACCTTATAACAAAAAGACAGCAGCAGAAACAACAACAACAAAAACAGTTTCAGCAACGCCGCAGAGCTCAGAAGCAGGGTATGCTTCAAACGGTTACTTTGGCCTCGCGTCGACTTAATTCTTCTTGCGCCGAGCTCATCTCAAACCCTTCAGATTTATCCCTTGCGCATCATCAATGGCTGTCTCCTATTTTGCGCCGTCCGCTAAGACAACCACTTTCACAGTCTTCACAGTTGACCTCAGCATCCTTGGAAGTCGTCCCTGACCACTCACCTCCTGGTTCTAGTGGCAGAGCAAACTGTCGTGCTTCTCAGGTAAGTTTCTTCTATTTTATCTTCTTAAGACGGAAAAACAGGAATATAAATGGGGTATTGTATTTGCCTTTCACTTGAGCGATATAGTAGAGTACTGATCTCTATTGGAAATGTAGATAATTTGTAGTGATATGGCTTTCCATTTTGTCTTCCTTATTTTCTTTTTTGAAGAGACGATTGGAAAGGATTCATAAGTAGCCCTTACCGGAAGATGTAGGGGGATTGCCTTGGAGCCGTGACTAGACTTGTTCGAATATTTTCTCGACAAAACCCCCTGCGACCCCTACGAATCCTTGCTGAGCTTTCGTCATGGCAGGACACCTTGCTTTACGATGATTAACTAAAATACGAAGGATGAGAGGGGATGGGCTTTAAACCTACCTATTTCTTGTAGTCTAACTTGCTCCACTTAATAAGGCATCTCATGAATTGGTTGGATATCCTATGCTTTGCCTAAATGCTTGCTGTGAAGATAAGTGACTGCGGATAAAGCGTGAAATGGATGCAATTGTGACCGAGCAGCTACATCTTCCCGTACAACACTATCTTTGATACTGCAATGTTACCGTATGTGATTACTGTGTGAATGCTTTGCTCTTGAAATGCTTGACTTGTGAGAGCCGAATCAAGCCTCATCTTGCTCGGTGGTACTCGTATCCTCTCTCGAATCCTATCCGCCAGTTACATATAATTTCCACCTAACTTCCTACATTCATTCTTTCTATTCAGGGTGTTGGCTGTTTAGTTGATTCCTATAGCTTCCCTAATCTCCCGCTTATTTGTACAGTCCCAGTATCCTTCTAAACTTTTGGCATTATACCAGTCTATTTGACATCCTGTGCAGGCCATGTGTTTGGCAAATTCCGATTTTTGAACTCATCCTTGCAGACTGTTTTGTGTTCAGATTACCTCTTATGTTTGGGTCTACAGGTCTCCTCCACTTAAACGCTATCAAATTAACACAAAATGTTGTAGCAGCCCGATCTGTAGAGACTGTCCGAATATTCCTATAAATTGTTCTTATTTTCCACCTCAATAATTCGTCCATCTTCCTTGACAGATTGCATGATGGCAGCATAAGGACTCTGGTAGAGTGGTCTAGCCACTTAACTAGACCCAATTATGTATTTCCCTTCATCCCATTCAATTATATTTTACAATAATTATCAATCAGTCCTCGTAGATAATTGTTTCGTGAGTGAGTAGGCTTTAGAGACTCGTATATCTCGTAGATAATTGTCCTCAACTATAATTCTCCTCAGTCTTTTCAATTACTGGTCCCGATGATTAGCATTTACCAGACGTAGACTCCTTATTATCTTAGACTTCATAACTTTTCACCTTGACCACTTATTTCTTTTTATCATAATTGTCGCTGTTTATTCACCTCTAGTTTCTTGTTTAAAACGAAATAAAAAATTTTAAACATGAAAAATCTAAATCCTTGCACACTTATAAACATTTTTCAGATGTCTCGTTTCTAATGAGATGCAATCTGCTATCAAAATAATTATTAATATACTTAGACTTCATTATATTTTCCATAAGTAATTATTCTATTTGTATCAAAAGGTAAACGGCCCTTGCATATGCTTTATTTTTTATCATTCATTGCTCTTTAGACAAAATTAGTTCTAACAATATATCTTACCGAATTTTCAGTCAGTAGCTTTGTCCACTCGACATGTCACAGGCTGTTCATCTGCTCTGTGTCGTCAAGGCCAGTCCCCGCGATCTCCCAAAAAGCCTCAGAGCAGTACTACACTTTTGAATGACCAGATGGCAAGCACTTGTCGAAGGTGAACTTTAAGCTATATGATCATACTTTTATTGATGCACATCTTGTATTATATTTCATCCAGTGCATTGTAATTACCACTTATCTTTAATGAATCCATCATATAGTATTTATGCCGTTTTATTTTCAATATGTCCTTCAATTTATGTAGGCAATGATAGTTGGCTAAATGAATCTAAATTTATATTGCGATATTAACGTTGCAAATTTGCCTCAATATTATTTTACTTGAATTATCGCTCATCCTGTTTGATTGGAAAACGAGACTTGTTAGTCTTATTCAAGAGCCAATTATATATATATATATATAATGTGGTTCTTTTATCCTTTATTTCACTCAATTTTGAACCTTTGTTTATTAATTCTCATCATATTGATACTTGTCACTTTAAAATAAAAAATCAGTCGTATACAAATATAGTTTTTATTATATTCTGGACTTTGTAATTTTTCAATTTCAACTAGACTGCGTTCACCCATCAAGCGATATCCGGCCGTAGCTTCTGCTCGCCCCAGCCTTGGACTTACTAATGGCGTGATCCGTGGAATTGAGTCACTTCGCCGCAGACCAGGGCGATCTCGACCTCATTTAGGCTCCACCGGTCATCGAAGAGTTGGTTTTGTTGAGCAAGCAGATGGCGAGGCCAGTTCTGGCACGGCTAGCAGTTCGGAGGATGATGACGTTGAAGAAGAAGAAATGGATGATGAGGTTGAGCTTGTCGAAGACGAGGAGTCTTTGGTCGCTGGAATGGACAGGGGCTTTGAAGTTGGCACCAGACGGCTGCGCAATCGTTCCAATGTTACTCAAGACTCCTCCGTTGTCTGGCTTACCGGCCATGAGTCTAGTTAGTGGTTTTTTTTCTGGGCGTGCATTTTTTGTTCTATAGATTTCATTTTCGTCTGATGTGAACTAAGGGACTAGATAGATAGTAATGATAAATTTGCAGGATCACTTCCACCTACACCTTCCGCCTGGTGGACAAAAATATAAACTTAGGAGCCTATTCATCAATTTTCACCAAAATTTCAACCTTGTTCCAAATTATATCGAAGTTATATTTGAATAGGGTTTACTTGTACTCATTGCAGCAGTATTTCTGTTAAATTATTATCCCTATTCATATTTGTAAGTTTCGATGGCGGGCATAATATATCTGCGTTGGTCATTTCTGTAGCTTCCTTTTTATGCATTAAATAATTTTCTGGTATCTAGATAAAAGTATACATTCGAAGCAAAAATAATTCCATTTTATATTGAATTTTATAGTTTATACGAAGATGTGAAGATTAGGATGGTGTGGCTCTTGTTATGGTCGCAGTCTCCTTTCGATTTATAGAAGTGGGTTGATCTCGTTTTCGCAATTTGGTCTTGCTGTCATGGCGACTTAGTTTGGTTCACCTTGTCCGAAGTCCTCTGCCATAGTAGTTATCGTTATTTAGTCTGATGCTGGGAATTCTGGTAACTTCTGTGGCAGAGGACTTCGGACAAGGTGCGTTCAACCAAGTCCCCCTGACAGCAAGAGCAAGTTGCGAACATAAGGTCAACCCACTTTGTAGTTTATACTTCTCTGTTCCCATGATTTTTATTTTTCTAAAAATAATCTTGTGAACTAATAATTTGGAATTTCTACGTCGAGAGTTTGCAATTCAGATACAACACTTTTAAAAATATTACTCTAAATGATAATTCCAAATACACTAATTGGTATGATATCTTTGTCTATAAATCTTTTCTCAGTTTTGATTACCACATTTTATCACATTGTCATCTCTGGGGAGTGGCAAAGGAGTACTAATAATAAAACATAGACATGGTAACAATCTTTCAAGCCTTTTCTTCCGCTTGCTTTTCATAATAGTGCATGGTTTGGATTCAATTTGACTTTTATAACCAGATCATCTACAAGCTTTTGCGCTGTTCTGAGGGCTGAACTCTACCAGTGATTGTATGACATTGTTGGTAAAATCATAGAGTATACAAAAGCATTTAATACTTCGAATTTCTTTTTATTTGAAATTTTGTTGTCCATTAGACATGTATGCATACTTTAGTCACATAAATCTACTTATAAACGAAAATAAGTAATTGAAAGTATGAAGACCAAGATGGTGTGTGTTCTTTTTTGTGGTCGCAGTCTCCTTCCGTTGTATAGAAGTTGTTTGACCTCATTTTCTCAACTTGGTCATATTGGTAGGAAGACTTATAGGAACGCACCTTGTCCTGAGTCCATTTTATGCA